GAAACTGGATGTGTCAAGGAGAGAGAAGAGAGTGAGTCAAAGCAGTGCCCTAGATAGAGTCACAAAGCACAAGATGAAACAATAAGAGATGAGAACGAGAGCAGCAAGAGGTGATCAAGTCATTGACTGACAGGAAAAAATCTATAGATTTTAACAGATTTGCATTTCTGGAGTGCTTTTCCAGAAAAGAGTGTGTAGAGACTGAAAGCATTTTGTTCATAACTGCAAGAGCATGTGATCGTGATGAAGTGATCCATGTCAGACTGGGCAGCTCTATTTTTGCTTCAAGTATTTACGGAAAGACAGTTCCCTGTTTTGGAATCTAGTGTTCACTTACATCTTTGGAATTTTTTCAGCTTTCTGCTTTCAAGAACACAGGCACCCAACCATCGCCTGCCTTTGGACTGGGAGGACAGCAAACATCAAGCTTTGGGCTCTCAAGTAAGTTCCTGCCCTAAGAACCAGCAGATACCAACATTTTCTGGAGTTTCTCTGCTGCTGCATTTTTTGAAATACAGCAGTGGTTTAATATGACTGGGGTACCCATTGTAATATTTGTTATCAATTCTGTACTTGCAGGCTTTCCTGTGAGCAGCAGCAGTACCGGTGCCAGCAGTTTCTCCTTTAAAGCCAGTTCCAGCCTCATCAGTTCCTCATCATCTGGAACCAGCCCTGCTGCTGGGGTCTCTTCTGCTGCTGGTAGTGCTCCTGCGTTTGGGGTGACGTCCTCTCCCAGCACACCCCAACCTGCTGGGTTTGGCAGCCCAGCAGCTCCATCTGCAGCCTCCTTCTCCTTTAAAACAGCTGCAACAGCTGGTGGCTTTGGGACTTCTGGGTTTTCGGGCTTTGGCAATGCTGCTGCTGTGAACTCTTCCAGCACCACCACTGCACTCCCAGCCTTTGGAGCCTTTAATGCAGCCACAACCACTTCTGCCTCACCTTCAAGTGGTGCTTTGTTTGGACAGACTGCCAGTGCCTCTGGACATCACGTCACCTCAGCGTCTGCTGCAGTCACCAACACCACCACCTCAGAGAAGTTATTTACACCCAAGAGCGAATTATCAGCTGAAGAGTGGCAACAGTTTGAAGCAAAGGAGTTCACCATTGGAAAGATTCCTCTTAAGCCACCCCCATTAGAACTTTTAAATGCTTATGACCTTTTAAGTTTATTCAGAAGTAACATGTTTTGAAATCAAATCAAAGGCTTCCATTTTGTCACTTTTTGTTTCCTCTCTCAAGTCTCTTCTGCAGGAATAAACCCACAGTTATAAACATTGGAACACTGTATTTTTGTCATTTCTTGGTTATTTTGGATAGATGTTTTACATCTAAGAAATTAACTGTTGAAACTAAAATGAAATGTTCCCTTCTATATGCTGTCCTGTGAAATTCTGGTGAAACACTATATAAAAGGGCTGTGTCAAAAGAAAGAATGTTTCAGTCGTGTATTCACAGCCTACTGCTAGAAGGAAACAGATGCAGTGCAAGATTGGTTGTTGTTGGACAGCCTTGTCTTTTGCCTCTTCAAAGGGTCCGTGCAGCCTTGGACAGTTGTGTTTGGAGATAGATGGAGGGCTCCTGTGTGGTCTGTACCATGCCAGATGCTTCTGTCCCCCAGGAGTCATTTCCCTGTGCCAGTTGATGCAATTCAGCTGTTGTGAGTAGTTGTGCCTGAGGTCACCATGCCTGTATGATTGTCACACAGCTGGGGGAGGACAGGCCTGAAAGCATTCATCCTGAAGAAGGAGCTCGTGGGTTGCTATTTTGACACCTCTGAGATGAAACTTTGCAAGCAGTTGCAAAACTGCCTTTCTGTGAACCTACGGAATTTTGTTGTCAGGTTCTCAAAACTTGATGGGTGCGCATATTAGCAGTACCTTTTCTGAAGTCATGATATTAAGGTATCCGTTTTGTTACTAAGATACTCTAAAAGCAGGAGTCAGGAATCTTCCAGAGGATGTCCTAGACTCAGGGATAGTAAGATCTGGTGTTTTCACAAGTGGGCTTCTGAGCATCTGTAAAGATGGCAGAGAGCAGTGTGATATGACCTACCTGGCAAGAGACAAGCTATATATTTGGCTGCAGAAGTAGAGATAAGGATAGGATAGAAAAGAAGGTAATAGTATTGCTCTAGGGGGCTCACCAAACTGCAGAAAATAGGCAACAATTTGTTAGACCGAAGAAATCTGCCCCAATATTTGCACTGTGGGTTTTTTTCCTGTTCATCCTGTTCTGCTTTTGGTATACTTGATTTCAAAGTAGGTTGCAAGTACAAAGGAGGCTAAATAATATCTTCCTTTTAGCTACAATCCTTTCATTTTTCTTAACTTCTCCTTTTTGCAACTGTTTTGTTGTTTGGTATATAGCTGCTCTCCAGAAAGTCATAATATTGTGGTCTGGCATATAAAAACACATATAGGGTGGCAGCAAACTCACAGATGTCACTCACTGCACCTTGATTTAGAACAGGAAACATGAGGTGACTATCCAAGCAAAGATATGTAACATGTCCTGATTAGCAGAAAATCTTGGTCCGTGAAATAGGCTAGAACATTTAAGCTCCACGTGATATTTTCAAGTACTTCCCTTGCTTTGAAATAACAGGATTTATGAGTCACTGAAATTCCTGGAGTGTGGTACAAACAACTAATTTGAAGAATGATTTGAAGTTTTTGTTTTCAAGAGATCATGGATTAATCCCCAGACAGTAGCACTTGAGACTACCTGTATACAGGAGAAAAACCCTCCACTGCCCCAGCTGAGGAAGCAACCCAGTATCTAACACATGCTCTGCCCCTTTTCCTCCCAGTGATACTAGCAGCACTATCATCTCAAAATGTGATTTAGCAGCTGAGAAGGAAAAAAAAAAGTGAACCTCAGAGAGCATTAGAATTATATCTTAAGAGTTAAGCATCACTGTAGCCATGTGCTCTGTAGTTTCACAATGTGCAGTGGCAAGTGGCGTGGTAGCTTTACACTGAATGAAGGAAGATGGACTGCAAATAACCAACTGACTAGATTTAAGCCTCAGAGGATAAGCTAAGGGGATCAGCAACAATAAATTAACCAGAAGGCTGAGGAAAGAAGAGCTTTCACAAATGTGCCTGGGAGGGAAAGGAATATGAAAACCCTATTAATACAGGAGCACTGAAGGGAGATTGATAACTCTGAAATGGTGGAAATCTGTTTAAAACATATTTGAAATGAGGGACAGTTGAAAATCAATGAGGATGTAATGCGGTAACTGATAAAAGCAAGTAAGAAAATATTTGTGAAATGTGAGCTTACTGCAGCACAGAGGAAGTCCAGGCAATTTGCTGTACTGGTCAGTAAGGGAATCAGCTAATGGACTTGCTACAGTTCTGGTAAGTGATATCACTTACTCAGGTAAGTGACAGAACACGAGGGATGTGATAGTAGACTGAGGAAATAACATATATTAGTGAGCAGAAGTACTTTGTTGACAGTTACAAATAATTTGAGGAGATTATAAAGACAGATCATCTGGCTTTTAGTAAGGCATTTGATACTGGCATTTAGGAGGTGTCAGATGTTTATGTGACAGTGATTAGGGTTAGCAATTAATCAGAAACATCTACAAGTGAGTGAACACTTTTTGTTTCTAGTCCACCTCCCGTGTCCTAATGTAGAGAATAGAGAGAAACTGGGCAATAGTGGAGGAAGAAAGCCACAGGTTGTACTTGGACAATTTAAGTAGATATCTAATTATATTTGACCTAATAGAAGCCAGCAACTGAAGGAAAAATCTGGACTACAAGTATTTAGAGAGACAGAGCAAACTGTAGAGTTGAAAGGTGCTGAGAGTAAGTGATATATGAAGCCCTGGTGGTTCAGATCAGTGAAATGTATTTTGAGCTGTAGGAATATCCAACAGCTGCAGTAATGCGCTTAGTTCTGAGCACGCAATTGCCAGAGACTTGCAAGATGACTAGAAGGAGATTCAGAAAGCAAGCAAAGCCATTGCAAATGAGAATTTAGGAGAGAATTTAAGAGCTGAATAAGCTCTGCTTGGTGAAAGCAGAGACTGTGATATGGAACGACTGTCTTATTGAAAGGGTACCCTCTCAGGAAGGAGGAAAAAGGACTTTTTAAGGCATTCTAGTAACCAGGATATTGCGCTACTTCACAGAAATCTTAGACAGGAAGTTTTCCACCTGGGAAAGTCCTTTTCTACCTCTGTTAAGAACTAGCCAAGCCAAAACCAAAACACTAGAATCAAATCCCTACCTGTCCGGTTTAACAGTTCATGTTCTCAGAGATGCAGCAGTCAGAAGAAGTAGATCTGATCCCTTCCCTTTGAACCAAAATACACCAACACTTTTGCAGAGAGTGATGGAGTGCAACACTGAGCATTTGGGGCAGAGAGCTGTATGTGCCTGCTACCTCTCCTGGGAATGATTTAGGGGGCTGACCATAAAGCAGGACCCTCTCTCCATTGAGTTTAAAGAGGCAGATTAGCTCCCTAATACTGGGAGTGAATATGCCTCCTGGTCTTGAAACTCACACTTGCCTTGAAACTCTCACTTGCAATTGCCTGGTTTTCCTGTTAAGAATAGCTAAGTAAAAAATAAAAACAACCAGAGAGTTGTTCATAGCAGCTCTGCCTTAGGCAATATGCTTGTTTAATCTGCAATGCTGTTGCAAATTTTCGATTTTGTCTGCAGAATAAAGCTAGGCACCTTCTTACAGCATAGTATCACGCAACAGGCTCCTTGGTGGGACTTACCCTCCTGCAAAAGAACAAAAACAGGTCTTAAAATGGAGGGAAGAAGAGCAAGAACAACAACAAGACTTAATGTCAGCAGGCTGATCAGCATTTTTGTTCGGGTACACGGATTGCTTTGTCTTTCCTTCACAGCCAGTAGGGTTTGTTCTTACCATGTCACATGAGAGACATAAGAAACAAGTTTTATGCCTTTCCTTTTCTAGTAAGATCTGTTATATTGCTAATTGCATATTAGTCATCAGAGAAGTGATCTGATATTTCAAAATACCTGCTGTACCTGAATTTCTGTTTTGTTATGGCAGTGGGTTCTTAGCAATCTAAATGCTGTTTAGTCAACATCAAGTAAGGCTTCTGCAAGCCTTCCACAGAGCCTTATCTTTGCAAATCACATGAAATATGCCCATTGCATATGCCCTACAAGTAATTAGATTAGTTCTAATTATACAAAATAAATCCACCCTTCTGTGTGAATGAAACAAGGAACATTTGCAGGTGTGCATGTAAAACCACGTCACGTCACTTTTAAACGGAGACTAATGAGGTACAGTTTTGATCTCTAAAAGCTTTGCTTTTCTGTCTACCCAGTTCTGTTGTTGTTTTTCCCAGTCTTACAAGCATCTGTGCAGCACTGGCTTGTAATGCACTCTGGTTTTAAAGCACTCTTTATAGGCACATGAGATTTTGTTGTAGTTTACCTCTGCAAGTATGGACTTCTCTTGAAGTATCTGTTGAAGTAATGTTGAAATAGAACTAAAATAAGATAAAACTGAAATAGCAGTTTGTAACCATGGGTTGCATTACAAAAAATAAAAAATAAATAAAAAAAAAGAAAAGCCTGGTATCACTTACTGTTTCTGTATGATAAATGGACAATAGATGAGGTGAAAAAGAACCCTCTGTATTCACTATACATAAACTCTTTGGGCGGAAGAGAGCCTTCAGCATTCTTCCATAGCCTGTGTGTTTGCTCAGAAGCTCCCACAGGGCTGGGGACCAACAGGTCTTTGCAAAGTGAAGCACTAACTCGAACTTCACCCTAGGAGCTTGGCCGAGCATAAAAGAGGGACCCAGCCTGCAGGCAGATCTGCCTGCCTTGAGATAAGGCTGCCTTAAATTTTACTGCAGATCCTCCTGCCTGGAGTCTGCTTCAGACATCTCTGTCTCTATCTAACCTACCTTTCTGGAGACTGATATCTTTACTCCCTGCCCTGTGTGCCTACCACTCCCCTCTTTTGCATACAGGGAGTCATGACTCCCTTGGCCTCCCCATGCAGGTTTTGCAGATGAAAATGGCCACCAGAAACCCCTCCTCTCCAGAATTCTGAGCCTCTACCTGAAGCCTACATGAGAATTCACATGATGCCACAATATTCATGATTTGACACCTCCAAGCAAGCCCACAAGCAGAGCTGTACATCAGAGGTGCTGATGGAGCTCCAGCATGACCTGTCTTTCCAGCTGATGCTGTTTCAAGGTTCTGTCTCATCAGTGCCCTTTACTCACATGTTCAAACTCCATATCACATGATATTTCTAGCAAAATGAATCCCACTTAACCTTTAATCATCCTCTATAACCACTGGTCAATTCCACCTGCCTGTTCTTCCCAGAAGCTGCCTCTGCCTGTGCTTCTGAGGACGACACCTAGAAACTCAGAGGTACTAAAGCTCCCCTTGCCCTCAACAAGGAACTGCTTCTGGTTTTCTAGACACTTGTCTGAAACATGTCAGAAGGTTTCTTTTCTCCTAAAGAACAGTGATACAGTGATGCACCTTCCTATTTGGCATGTCCTCTAGTCGCCTACCCCTTCAGTAAGGAGCTACAGGGATGGTCTCTGTCCTGACCTGTGCATTGGGGGCAGAGGTGGCACTACCATTTTGTCATTCATCAGGTGTACAACCCTGAAGGAGGTTGTACACCTGAGAAAACGCCTCTGGGCCTCCACACAGTAGTGACTGTAGTTCATCTGCTAACAGGTGCTTAGTTGTCTGTGTCTGCTAACAACTGGATTAACTTTCTCCTATTTTTCCCTTCTGAGCATTGCTGTACAGAGGATGAGGAAAAGAGGAGAAAAAAAAGGCACAAAATACTCACAAGTTTGCTGAAATACATGACACTGCCAGAGGAAAAAACCTGGACACCCTAACTTTTGCTTATATGCTTGAATCACAAGTCCATCCTTCTTTTCATAGCAAAACTACAGAGCAGTGACTATCAAAGAGCACAAGCAATGTAAGTCAGTTCTTGCAGAAAGAAACACATCTGGGTGCCAGTAATAAGTCCGTACTGAGGTAACCAAGGTATGTTGGACACCTGATGACATATAAGGCTGTCCTATCTGTGCTGAAAAAAAACAGGGATGTCTCTCTCTGACCTTTTCTTATGTCTTTATCTACTTCCATTTGGAAAAATACTGGAAAATATTAAAGAAATTAGTAGAGTGTCTCAATATTAAAGATACTACTGGAGAACAAACAAATAAATGCACGTAAGACTCTTCATGATCACAGCTGAAATAAACTTGTTCTGGCAGCAAACTTCTACTTAAGTGGTCACTGGACAGATTCCATCCTTACGATGATCTACTTTGAGAAGATTTATTCTTCCAACAACAACAGAAACAGTCACGAACAGAGGGAGTCCTATAAAGCAACTAAAGAGTACATGAGAACAATATGTGGTGTTTTTTTGTTGTTTTAAAACTGTTGGATTGTGTGTGGCTGTAATTTATAGCTATGTATCCAAAATAATTTACGTAGGAGTCTGTATATATTGCAGTACTTGGCGTAGAGGAAGAGGAAATAAATTGCATTTTACAGCATTCCCACCTCTGACACTGAGCCAGATGATTCACGCATCCCTGGAGGTCAGCCAGGGGACTCAAAAACCATGAAGCCCCAGTGCACGCTGTGCATCTTACGTGCCCTGCTCAGCTCTTACAGACCCTCAGTGTGGACACATCTCCAGAAAAGATGCCCCAGGGCTGTGATGCTGGCTGTTAGCCATCTAAAAATTTCCCTATGTAAGCAGGACTCCCAAATACCAATTTGAGTTTCCGATGTAGTGCATAGCAGTTAGAAAACTGCTGAGGTCCAATGCATGATGTTTCTGGTTTATGTTCAAACAACTAAATTTTAACAGGTTTCCTAAAAAAAACCCATGGTTTTGATTATTCTGCCTGATCATCTGTCTGTGATTCCTTCTGCACCAGTCACCCCATGGCCAATTTTCAAGTGCTTAAATCTCAAAGATTATAATCTCATAGCTGTAGTAAGAATTGGCAGGTGGATGAGGAATTAGACTAAAATTAGTGTTTCAACTGATAGAAAAGCAGGCAAAACTCAGATACTATGAATACTGCTAGCAGCTGGCTGGCTGATCAGCACATATGCAAATCTGGTATCCAGAGCAGTTTACCAGACATTTGCCTCTTTGGGGTATTAAAGAGGACAAAGGGCACCAAACTACAGGAAACTGTTTCATATGCACATTCTGTGGGTCAAAACCAACTTGTTTCAAATAGTAAAAGCAAGATTCTTCCATATTCAGACATGAAGTTAACCCAGGAACAAGGAACAATACTATGTGAGTTCAAATATAAGAAAGAATCGAGGCTCATAACTCCACCCTGGATTGCCAACTTGCTGCCAGTTTCATACTTAATAGAAATCAATGAAATTATCCATGATCCAGGAGCTTTGCTGATGTCTCCTCTCTCAGGATTCCTAGGATCCTGCCATTGTAGGACCTTCCAGCCTTCCATTTCTTGTGAGGAAAACAGAATCACTGCAGAAGAGCTTCTACAATGAAACAGAAACCATGGATGATCTTTCACTGAAACAAAACTGGAAATAACAATCTGACTAAAATAAAACAATTGTTATTACACTTTTTGCCTTCTGACCAATTTCTAGCCATAATTGTTCCCTAACCCATTACTGTGTCACTAGCCCTTCATCCTATCATACAACACACTATATTAATTTTCTTGCTCTTTTATTTGGCAGAGAATGCCATTTCTGCCAAAATACGTGAAATTTTTCAAGGCATTTTACATATCCTGATTATTGTGAAGAAACTGCTTCAATACCAATTGAGAAAATTTGGATATTTGTTCATGTTCTAATCTTAAATCTAACAAAATTTACTCCATAAGGCTTAAGATACAGGAGAGTCTGAATGTGACTGAATGAATTCAGACAATTTGAGATGTTTTTCCATCACACAGCAGACTAAAGAAGCCCAAACAGCCACTGGCTCCCTCTGTTCAAACTGGAAAGAGTTGTCTGTGCATCAGTATATGCAGCCTCCTTTATTTTGCAGGGCAACCACATCCTCCCCAAAAGGATACAAAACATTCAAGGCAACCCAGGTCCAAGTAAGCATATTCAGACTCACCAGCAAACTGAAGCTCAGGCAGACTCCAGAGCATGGCTCTGACGGGCTTTCCACAGGAAACACCACTGAACCAGTAACCATTTGTTCTCTAACTTGACATAACTTCTGCCTGTTCATGTTACATCATGTCCAGATGGGGACTTATTAGTTATCATCCAAGGCTTGATAAGATTTTGAAACAGTTAGACAAGACTCCTCCCATGCAAATGTAAAACAAGTGAAAGCAAAAAGCAGAAAAATGTCAGATCAAGCCTTTGGCCCTGTTGCATTGCTCCTGGAATACCTGCACTCCAGGGGACAGAGCCTACTTCTTTCTTGCTTCAGCTGTGGCCCATTACAGCCTGAGAGGGTGAAAGAAAGGAAGCAGCATTCAGAAGTCCCTTACAATGATAACGAGAAAAGGATGACACTAAAAGTTTCCTTAGGTCCCCAGCAGAGAGAGGATTGCATCTCTAAGCGCCTTCTCCTCTCTGTGGGCACGTAGGTTTCTCTGAGATTTGCGTCCCGGATCACCGAAGTGTTACTCCAATCACACAAAAAAAAGGTGTAACTATGCTACTTATTCTCTGCTGCCACATTCTTCCTGCCCCCTAACTGTTGTTATCTGTATTGGCCAAACTGGAAGCCACCAGAGATTACCTGCTGGCCCTATGGCTACCACAAGAGCCTGAGTTAATACAAGAGCAATCTTTGCTTACAATTAATGAATTACATAGATAATAGGCAAGTACTAAGTAGGATTGTGTTTCCCAGGGCACCAAAGCTGGCCTGGTAGAAGACTGGCTGAGCCAAGGCCATACTGTAGAATCACAAGAGCACATGAAAACACTCCAGCAATGCTTGGCTGCCTGGCTGATCATTATATGGTCATGAAATGCTTAGCACAAAGCAGTGATAGTTGATTATGCCTGCTAAATACTGCTGTGGTACTAACACTAAGTGGTTCTATTAGCAAGTCCGTTTTGCCAGTTCTTAATTGCAGTGAAACTTGGGAAGATATAAACATCAAAGGAGCCCTTTTAGCTAACCAGATAAGTCTTGTCTTTATTCTTATGACCTTTTAAAATTTCTCACCCTATTCAATTTGAAAACCTGCTGTAGGCTATTAGAATTTAAATTAATACATGCTTATTTGGAGACTGTAAAGGTAAATGAAAGGTTACATATACTGGTACAAAATTGCTTCCTTTCAATGGTTTGCAGGTACATAAGAAATAGCATTAAATACCCTTCTGGTCTCCCAGATTGTTCTTTATAATCGCCCAGGCTAGTAATTTTTTAACTGAATTTAAAATCGCTGCTTAAAGATTGTGATGTATCTTGAAGATGTATCTGCCTGCTCTCAGTACTATCTCTGTAAATTATTACTAGCAAAAAAACGTGTCCATCACTTTCTCCACAAAACCTTCTGCAAAAGCATTAGAGGACTGACTTCTAAAACAACAACAGAGTTGGGATTAGGAAAGGAACTTAACCAAAGGTTACTAGTGGGAAACAGACCCTTACAGACGTTACTATGGCCCTTACAGCCGTTTAAATGGCCCTAAAGTGAGGCGTAGCAAAAGAACCCGTCCAACAAGAATGCAATGAGTAGGGATAGAGTCTCTTTTAAATTGCCTGCTTTGTCTTAGTCTATATTTGTTCTTATTTAAATAGTAAATAGTTCCCATTTATGTTCTAACCAGAAATAGCTCTTAAGAACCAAAGTCTTTCTTGTGTATCACAGATGCTTGTTTTAAGGAGAAGCCACCTCAAAGCTTGGATGACTTGGTTGGTCCCCACCCAACAGGAAATCTTCTTTCTTCTGTTGTAAATAACTGGAAACTTCTTTTTTTCAATTTAAAAATAGTATCTATTACAAATATATTCTGTGAGAGAGTTCTGTGTAATCCAAAAACACATGAAAAGCATTCAAATACTATAGGAATGAAAACTATAAAATGCATTGTAGATCAATAAAAGACAGATTTTGCAAGTCCCTCTGCTTTCAGTACACAGTTGTGATAAGAGTCTGGTTCTGTAACGTGAGTGAAGATTTCCATGAGATTGTATTTTCTGGAGCTTTTAATTTCCATCTGCATGAACACACCATGCTGAAGTTTGCTAACAAATGTCACCTGAAGTCCAAAGCTTGTCACTATAGAGCAGTGTAAATATCCTCCCTGGGCTTTTCAGGAGACTCAAGTGATGTCCTTAAGCCTTGCTACATTTGACTTCAAAAATTTCATTATGCAGTTTGTTCCTTACTTTTTTATTTAAAGTTGCTGTGGTTCTAAGAGCCTCAGAGACCTGGCAGACGATTCTTAATTAAACACTTTGTGATTTTCATACAATGTTCTGTTTCCACTGAATTTAGACAGCTAGAAACATTTTAGCTACTTAAACAAAGGAGCAGTCGTCAGTGCCATATCTATCCCAGGGAGACTGTATTAGCTCCTGGGAAGACCATGCTGGGTTATCCAGAGGAAGGGGAGCTGCTTTATGATGTTTCGGTGGGCTGCTCCACTGAAACAAAATGGTACCTTCAGTCACTTTCTTTCAGAATCTTCCCATTTCGTATGAATTAAAGAAATAAATCAAAGTTGCCTTCAAATGTTTTCAGTCACTGCAAGTACATGTCTTTAACAGGGTATTGGAGGTGCTGGGGGGATACACGGGGTCAGAAATATGCTGCCATTCCTCAGCGCAGTGGGCAGAGTGCTAATGGTGGTTATTGATATCTGCATATACAGCTGCACAATATTTTACATATTGTTATACTTGCAGTGCTCATTTTGCTTAAAGTATTACTAACTCTCCCTTCTCTTGATTTTTCTACCTTACTAGTAGAAAGCAAAGTAAATTATTTACCCAAGGAGTAGAGTGGCAAAGAAGTTGCCTTCTTTGTATTCATGTATCTTTTTTGCAGCTGCAGAAGATATTTGGAACACCCCACCTCATTGTGCTCTCTGTTTGCACAGCTGAGATGGAGAGGATGATGTCTTGCAGACTCTCTGCAAAGCAGCCCAAGACAGTAGTTATGTTTTTAACATTTTTTTTCTGAAAATTCTCTCTCCCTTCTCTCCTCAGTCACCTGGCCCTGAGCACTTACTATGAAGCTTTCTATCATGCTTCAGTTAGACGAGGAGATAGGCATCGTAACTCCCTTTTGTGCTGTTAAGACACAAGCAAAAAATTGAAGCAAATAAACTGATCTCACTATTCTGATAGTTCATCTGTGGTTCTATGAGAAAATTTTGAGATGTCTTATCAGGTAAAGACATCTACCAGAACCCAGAGCTGAATTTCTTCTGAGGAATTGGTGGAAACCATATCCATGCAAAATATTGATCTGAAAAGTGGCTGCTGCTGACAGTGTTCCAGCCCCGTGTCATTACGCCTCAGCAATGCTCTCTACTTGTAGAACCATGGAACCTATTGGCTTGGAAAACACCTTCGAGATCATCAAGACCAGTGTTTAACCCAGCACTGCCAAGGCCACTTCTCACTCAGCTGCCAAGCAGCAACACCATCGCAGCAAAGGGCATCAATTGGCATTTTCACTGAGAGGTTCATTTTCGCTGATCAGTGACCTCCTCCAGCTGAGTTTTTGCTACTCAGAAGATTACTTCTGCCCAAAAATGTAAACATCTTTATGTTCAAAGTAAAAGTATTGGGACACAGAAGGGCAAGAGAACATTAAGTGTGTATCTGGGTGAAATCCAGTAATTAAGCTGTCAAAATAGGTAAACAGTTTCATCGTTTGCTCCCAGTTTTAGACTTTTGAATTTCATCCTAGACAAAAAACAGCATGGCAAAGTAAAGAAGATCTGACTTCCCATTATATTCTAAATAAAACAAATATAGCTGTTTGGGCTATATACTACATTTCCTTACTTTCATCAATGTCTTGATTAAAATTCTTGATTTGAATAAAGTTCAAGTACATGGACATTTATTAGTAATTAATCTGCCCTCAGCACCCATATTGTAGTTTTTATTTGTTATCAGAATATCCATGGAAATTCTACTGTTAAGAAAATTGCTCACTGAAGAATTATTTACAGCTTGGGTTTCTTTGGCCTCTATGTCTTAGCAAATACTGAGTTTTCTTATCTTTTTATTTTTCATTCTACAACACACCATTCAATAACCCGTTTTGTATTCAAAAGTTATTTTGTATTTTGTAAGAACAGAAGAACTAGATTTTCTGAAATGTAGCAAACAATTGGGAACTAAAAGATCAAATTATATCTATTTTCATTTCATCATTTTGTTCTTATTATATAAAAACATATTATTTTGCCTTAATTCAAACACCACTCACCACAACTGCAGGATGAAAAATCAATGTAAATTTATAGAGGTTTAAATGTAAAATCTGTTTTTCTCCTCTTCACTTATGCTTCTCATTTATTTACTTTTTCTGCAGGACTATTCCATTTTTTATACTTTGATGTCAGATACTTACAGTACAGGATTAAATTCAGACTGTTCAGATTAGATATAATATTCCTTACTAAGAAGAATGTCAACTACCACACATTGGATCTAAATTTTTTTTAATAACTGTTCGACTTCTTTCCATGTACAGCAGAACTGAACCTTTTGCAGTCTGAATCATTTGCAGTGAAACCTCTTAGGCACGAAAGAGTTTTCTCTTCCTCCCAGGCCACTGGGTACAGTAGTGCTCTGAGAAACCAGCTGCAATTAAGCAGTATGGCTGAGGGAAGATTTGTTAAGTATTTTGCTCTTTTAGGGGAGACAGTTTAAATTATAGATCTAAGAAGCAAATATATCTATTACATGATGCACACACATTTTCTGTAATGATTCTTGTCATCTTATACAGTATTTCTCGTGCAGAGCTCATAGATCTGGTGATCAGTGCTAGACACATGCTAGACAGACTTTACCCTCAGTATTTCACTTAAGCCCGGGATTGCAAGTAGGCTGCTGTATTAAATCAATTTTTTGGTTCTCACACAGTAAAGCTGTGTTAAATTTCCCAGTATTGGCAAAGAAAGCTGAAATAAAATAACCATATTCCCATGTAGATTTAGAACAGAATCAGTGCAAATTTACTGCTCCTATCATATAAATAGAGGATATTGGTATTTAAGATGAATTCAGAAGACTAACTCTTATATATTTAATGTATTTCCTTGCCCACATGTGATCAGAACTGTTAAAGATTATTATGTAATGCCTTTGGGATAAGGACATTAAAAATATACTTTTGTCCCAGTGAAACGGCAGTTCCTGTTGAAGTTTCCACAAGCAGGAGCCCCTGCAGCCATGGGCCAGGGAAATAACCCTGCCAAAATACTGATTTGGGGGCTGCACAGCTGCATTGCCAGCTTCAGTGTCCTCCTCTGCCCTGTCAGTGCTGTACTGTGACATTAGGGCCTGATCCTGCCACCTGTTACTCTGCAGCAGCCAAAGACGAGTCGATGTGGTGATGGATGTGTGGGAATGGGCAAGTTACAGCACAGTCAGACTGTTCCTCCAGTGCCTCACTTGTTAACCCACAGCCCCAGAAAGCCATGACTAGTCTGTGCAAGTGGCAGCAGGCAAACTTGGAAAAACCCAAACCAAACCAAACCCCATATGACCTTCTTCCTTCTATTTCCCTTCAGGCCTTCAAATGAGTCTTCCTCAACACTGTCAGCCACAGAAGGTGGATCCAGGTGGATTTAAATCCTAGGGTGACACCAACATACCACTAGGAGCACAATAGCTCCACTAGCCCAGATTTTGCCTTCCTTTTATGCCATAAATGTTACTATCTAAATTGGGCTTCTAGATAGAAAGCTGGTTGCTATGTAATATAATAATATTTTTTCTCCTGTTTCTATTGCCTGTATATTCACTGCTGGGCCCAGCCTCTATGGAAGAGACTACTCTCTGAATTACTGCCATGAGTCAGTGGGAATACAGTGCAAAAGCAGCATTTTGCCCACTTTTTTGATGTTAACACATTAAAGAGTATGTTATGTTAAAGTTCAGCTGCCTGCTTTTTCATTAATTCTGAGTCCTATTTCAGGGAAATGTGGAGGCTATTTCTTAAGCAGTCAAGGAAATTTCACCGGACCATAAAACAACTGAGCTTGTGTGGTGAACTCTTATGCCTAGCCCATAATAAGTGAAACATAGCATATACAGGGTAATAAGGTACAATTGAGTACATTCAGTTTACCTTGTTTCTTAGAAAAGTTTTAAAGGAGCTTTACCTGTGAGACTACTTCTCCTTCGGTGTCCTCTCACCAAAGTAACTACATAGCAGATGTTCAGATGTTCTTCTTAACTATATTCACTTTGATAGGTCACCTTTTTGTTTGGGGTTTACTGGTTTTATTGTTTCTGCAACATTTTTTTGGAAGAATTTTTTCTTCTTTTCCTAGCCAAAATATCAATGAATATCTTTAGAGAAAAAAGAACTTTTCAGCAAAAATTTGATTGCTCTCTTGAGCTGAATGATACCAAAATCTGTCTTTAATACTTCTGGGCAACAGGGAGGTCTAAATTGATTTCATTATAATATGATGTAAAATATGAGTCTCCTGCTGCAATAATCATGCACCTTCACAGCATTATCTGCTCTCCTGATTGGAAGAGGTCTGTGTCTTGATGAATCATGGTGACTCTAAACCACATCATTAACAATTCATTAAATCAATATGAGAAAAGTAGTAGAGTAAAACCAATGTTCAGATTGTAATTTAACTGTGGCAGCTGCAACACTGAAAGTGGGTCGGCTGAGTTGCACACGGAGCAAGCCAGAAGCTTACAGAGGCTTTGGAAGACTGCAGGCTAGCACCACAGAGCACTGGGATTATCAGGATAGCTACATCTCCTCCTTCACTGTCATCATAGTTAGAAAAACCCCAACCAGCCTGCCTAGACATACTGAATAAACTTGCTTTTTTACACACCTTTAAAAAAAAAAGTGTGTGGTACAGTCTGAGGGTCAGTATCTGTTCTCGTGCTTTGTCTTCAGCTGCTGGTCATCTGCACGAATTAACACTGCCATGAGCAAGGAAGCCAAGTCCACCTGTGCGGGATGAGTGGACTGGGGCACTCTGTGGGTTTGAATCTCAAGGCTGAGCTATTGTGGGAATTTGCTGATGTCGAATTCTGCAGATGATTTCTTGGATTCCCCTATCTTCCCCACAAGGTACTTTCATGAAGCATTTTGGGGCACTGTCACACACATGGCTATGACTAAACAGGGAGTTTAGCATTTGTAGGGAGAGACCAGTGAGAGACTCCCCTAAAAAAGCAGAGAGCTGGCATGCTCATCCAAGCCTTCCCTTAAGAGGAAGTCAGGCCAAAAATTACTTGTATCACAAAAAAATCTAAACCTCCCCTGGTGCAACTTCAGCCCATTTCTTCTTATCCAGTTGGTTGTTACCTGGAAGAAGAGACTGATCTCCACCTCGCTACAACCTCCTTTCAAGTAGTTATAGAGAGCGACAAGGTTACCCCTGGGCCTCCTTTTCTCCAGGCTAAACAACCCCAGCTTCCTCAGACATGCTGTGGTCATTCTGTGTTCCTGTACTGTCATCAAAAGCCAAGTTTGGAAAAGATCTTTAGATTGCAAACAATTTTAGATTAGATATTAGGAAAAATTTCTACACAGAAAGGATTGTCAAGCATTGGAACAGGCTGCCCAGGGAAGTGATCAAGTCACCATCCCTGGAGAAATTTAAAAGACATGTAGATGTGGCACTTGGGGACGTGGTGGACTTGGTAGTGCTGAGTTAATGGTTGGACTCAATGATTTTACAGGTCTATTCCAACCTAAAAATTCTATGATTCTATGATTCTATGACCAATTCCAACACAGGAATTTGGAGAAATATATGACTGCAAGGAAATACCTTCCCATAAAAAATGGTAAAATACACAGCTTTAGCTACTACAAAAGCAAAAAATAAAGGTGCTAGAATTACTAAAAGCCTCTTTGATCAGTAGCAAGGGTTAATGCATTTTTTAGTGATAAACTGAGACTGATGATACAAGAAACTGGTCAGGAGGTTTTTTTCCCAGTACAACAAGAACTGCAGACTGCTGAGGCAGCTTTGTTTACATGTTCAGTTCAGCCAGCTGATGGCCATTGTCCCATGTGAAGTGAGACACAGATGATTTCTTCCCAGAAAGGGAATTTGTCCAGCCTTAAGCAGAGTTCCCTTGAGAGAACACTGGTAATGGCAGACAGCATTTACCTAAACATACCTGGTTGCCAAAACAAGATTGTCTCGTTTTCCTTTGCTGTCTTGGCTAAAAGACAAGTTCATTCTTCAAATCCCTTCTTTTTTTTTCTCTTCTTCTTTTTTTCCTTTCCATTTTTTTCTTTTTTTTTTAAGTTCTAGTAAGCAGTGATTAACAATT